TTTAGCATTCTCAGTGTCTAGTTAGAATATTGTAACTTTGTAACATTTTTCATACTGGTGTCATAAAACTAACATCTGTAGTTATCTATTTTATCTCTCTGTCCCTTCTTAGATAGTAGGGTTACATTTGCAACTTTCTCGTCTGCAGGAACCTTTCCAGCATCTGTAGAATTTTAAAAGTTAAACAATCTTTTTATCCCCTTTATTCATTAACGGGATGAGTGTGTTACTGGCTCGGCAGCATTTATTGCCCATCCCTAATTGCCCAGAGGGCAGTTCACAGTCAACTACATGAACGTGCTTCTGGAGTCACATCCAAGGCCAGACAAGGTAAGGATGGCAGTTTCCTTCCCTAAAGGACATTAGTGAACCACGTGGGTTTTTCCGACAATCCATGGATTCACGGTCATCACTAGATTTTTAATTTCAGATATTTTATTTAATTCAAATTCCACCATCTGCCATGGTGGGATTCGAACCCAGGTTCCCAGAATGTTATCTGGGTCTCTGGATTAACAGTCCAGCGATAATACCCTAGGCCACTGCCTCCCCTTGCAGCTGCTATTTCAAAAACAACCTCCTTTTGGGTCCCTAATATTTGTGGGCAATGTGTACATCTTCGACGAAGACAGCAATAAAGCAATTGTTTAGTTTTTCTGCCATTCCCCTTGTCTCCAGTTTAAATTATCACGTCTCTACCTGTAATGAACCCACATTTGTCCCTATCAATCTTTTCCTTTTTAAATACCTAAAGAAACTTCCTTAGTCTGCCTTTGTTAGTTGCTAAGTTGGACTCATGTTTTTTTTTGTTTTGCTGGATTCTAAAAAGACCCCAATCCATGTGATTGCCACTTTTTCTGGCAAGCTCTAGCCCAATCCAATCTTTAAATCCTTCTATTCGGTATAGTTCACCTTGTCTGTTGAGTCTTTGCATATGAGAGGAATACTTATTGTTGATCATGTAAATGTTTCTTTAAACATTATCATTGCATGCCTACCGTCAAATCTTTTATCCTATCATCCCAATTCACCTTAGCCAACTTTCCCCTCATACCTTCATGATTTATTTTGTTCAGATTTAGGTCCCCAGTTTCAGTATGAATGGCGTCATTTTCAAACTTAATGTAAAATACTATCATATTATGGTCACTATTTCAAATGGCTCTTTTCTAGCAAGGTTATTTATTAGCTCTTTGTCATTTTACATACCAAGTCTAAAATAACCTGATCCCTAATTGGTCGCTCCATGTCCTGCTCCAAAAACACCACTCCTACACACTCCAGAAATTCAGCTTCCACAAAACCAGGGCCAATCAGCTTTACTCAGTTTAATCTGCCAGCTCTAAGTAGAGAGGAATTACTTTTATGCAAATTGAAGTCACCCATTATTACTGTGCTACCTTTGTTATATGCAGTTCTAATATCCAGATTATCAAGCTCAACATTAACAATACAGTTTGGCAGTATCTAAGTAAAAAGAAACAGTTCAAGAAGTGTCTTTCTGAGCTTGTAATGTTACATGTTTCTCCCTCTCTGAATGTTGTCACATCTAACTTTCTTCAGGATTTTGTGCTTTAATTTCAGATCTCCAACATCCACAATGTTCTGGCTTTGTTAGCACAGTTTCGTGGTTGATTAAAAACTCCCAATGTTTGCTGCCCGTACTGTTTCTCAATTCGATCCAAACTATATACTGTAACAGTCCTAGATTTCAAAAATCAATTCTGTTCATTGATATCTGAATCTATACCATGAATAACATCAACAGATCAGGTTTTATCTAAATATGAACCCAAAAGTGCACTAGTCTTTTTGACAACCATATGGGCCTCAAGCTTTAACGAACCTTGACTCATTCCATGATTAATGATCCTCATCTTAAAAGTAGACTTTTCTCCCCTACATTTGCTACACCACTTGATCAGCAAATGGAAAGTAGGATGCCTGACAAACTCAACGTAATTAGAAATTCTACAGAAATACACATTGACAAAAATTCTGTGAAAAAGATAGGGCCGATCAAGACTGATCTAAATCTAAAATTTAAGAATAAATCAATTAAAGAATAAGCAGCCCACCTCTTTTCCTTTCATTTACTGTAGCACAAAAATATTACAACACAGAGCCTTTCTAACTCCTGGCCATATTTCCACAACATACGAGGTAGCGAATCTTCCTTTATGATTCTCAATATAGATTTTTGTTTTGATGCAACTTGAGAATGATTGCTTCTAACTCAACATAAAAGTTTAGACTCACAGAGTCATAGAGATATACATTACAGAAACAGACCCTTCAGTCCAACTCATCCATGCCGACAAAATATCCTAAATAAACCTAGCCCCATTTGCCAGTATTCATATACCATCCACATGCCTTTTAAAGGTTGTAATTGTACCAGCCTCCACCGCTTCCTCTGGTGGCTCATTCCATACACATACCACCCACTGCGTGAAAAAGTTGCCCCCAAGTCCTTTTTAAACCTTTCTCCTCTCACCTTAAACTTAGGCCCTCTTGTTTTGGACTCCCCCCACCATGGAGAAAAGAACTTGAGTTTTTACCCTATCCATGCCCCTCATGATTTTATAATCCTCAGCTCCAAAGGTCCAGGAAAATTGCCCCAGTCTATTCAGCCTCTCCCTATAGCTCAAAGTCTTCAACTCTGGAAACATCCTTGTAAATCTTTTTTGAACCCTTTCAAGTTTCACAACATCCTTCCTATAGCAGAGACCAGAATTGCATACAGTATTCCAATAATGCCTAACCAATGTCCTGTAATGGTTGCAACTTGACCTCGCAATTCCTATACTCAATGCACCGACCAATAAAAGCAAGCATACCAAACGCCTTCTTCATTATTCTATCTACCTGTGACTCTGCTGTCAAGGAACTATGAACCTGCACTCCAAGATCTTTGTTCAGCAACACTCCCTGGGACCTTACCATTAAGTGTATAAGCCCTGCCCTGATTTGCCTTCCCAAAATGGAGCACCTCACATTTATCTAAATTAAACTCCTTCTGCCACTCCATGGCCAATTGGCCCATCTGATCAAGGCCCGATTGCACTCTGAGGTAACCTTCTTCACTGTCCACTACATCTCCAATTTTGGTGTCATCTGCAAACTTACTAACCATACCTCCTATGCTCACATCCAAATCATTTGTATAAATGACAAAAAGCAGTGGATCCAGCACCGAACCTTGGGGCACACCATTGATCACAGGCCTCCAGTCTGAAAAGCAACTCCACCACCACCCTCTGTCTTCTACCTTCAAGCCAGTTCTGTATCCAAATGGCTCGTGCTCCCTCCATTCCATGCAATCTAATCTTGCTAACCAGTCTACCATGAGGAACTGTTTTAATATAAACAAAATTAAAAATAATTATAAACTCCTTGAGTTTACAATTCTCAAACATCAAAACATTAAACAAATGAAGATATAAGAACTACTCAACACATCTCTGATCAAAGATTCTCAAAAATGCTAAACTTCTTAAGTAATCATGGCACACATTAAATCAACAGAAACCGGGATAATTTACTGTATAATCTTCATAGGAATGTTCACCTATCCAAGCATGATATATCCATTGAAAGCCATTTGGAATTTAAAACATCTTACATGAATAGTTCCTACCTTTTTTTAAACACACAAGCTCATATAAGTTTGCAGTTGGAAAGCTCAGCAATGCATCACTTGCACCTGTGGGGATAAATCAAATAGTTTACAGAAAAATGCCAAATACAGAAAAATTGCAAATATGCAATCTAATTTCTAAGCAACTAAACTGCCTTAATTCACAGAGGATGGTATGTTGGGTGTTAAGATGCGGAATGGTGGGATATGAGATCTCCAACCCTAAATCTTTCTAAACTACTGAGCTCTCAAACTTCACCAGGTCAGTCTGGAAGTTCAAGCACAGGAAGCAGACTAAAGAATGGGGTAAATGAAAATGAGCTACAGCTCACTTCTGAAAAACTGTTATTGTTTCTGCAGTAAACAAATCTGAAACATTTTATTGAATGAAGCCTATCAGAACGCTAAATCATTATGCAAAAAGAAATAGACATGCTGGAACAAAAATTAAGAGTTCAGAACGTATCAAAATTTAAGGTGACATGAATGAGTCCAAATTAGACTGCCTGATTGAACGATTTCACAAACAGAAACATCTGAGGCACTTAGTCACCCTTTTCAAAGTTATCTCGCCACGTACAGGAGTCCAGAAAAAGTTCAATGACAGAACATGCATATCCGTCTGTCCCGGAGTGAACTCAGAAGCAATATCTCTGAATAGTTATTGTAATTTAAAAATATATCAATGTATTGTTCAAACTGCTTAGCTTTGAAAGTGGAAAATGGAGTCTCGATGCTCAATATTTATTTTCGGCACCGCAACCAAGCATGTTCTTGTACAAGTAAGGCCTGATCGGTGCGAGATAGACGCGGACAGTCACCTTTTAATTATAGTGTCACGTTGGTGTAAAGAAATACCTAACAATAAAGGTGTGTGTGGATTGGGGGTGGGGAAACTATTTTCTCTAAATCGAGACTTTAAAGATGCAGCTTCTACTGGAGGCGGGCACCTTGGCGCTGCCCGGGACTGAATGAAGGCGGCAGAAGACAGCGTGTGTCCCACTAGACGGGGCAGAGGAGCTGCTGGCCAGTCCTCTTCCCCCCCAACACTCCCAGCTCAGGCCCGAGGCCTCCTCGTGTATACGAGCCGCAGGGCCTGACCTCGACACCCCACCACACTCCGGACTTCCCAGCCTTCTACCAACTACCAGGTGAGAAAGCATCCCCCCTCCCGGTCGCGACGGCCGGTTGCGTGCGGTTTCTCCCGGGTCCCCTGTCGCCCACCTCACAGTCGCTGCACACACCGCGTCTACCCGAGCTCCGCACTGTTTTGTCCGCCATTTTCCTCCACCGCCGGATCAATCGAGCTCCGAGCGCAGACAGGCATCGATTGGTGGCGGAGCCACGTGACCCCGACCCCTCCCCCAAACCCCACAGCCAGCTGCGCGCGCGCACAGTTCGAGGGGTGAGGGGTAACCGTTGCCTTCTCTGCTCCTCCATCACCGTTTTAATCGTCCTTCTCGTCAGGGTAGGCTCTTGGCCTACAGCAGTACACCCCTGAAAAGAGACTGGGCCGGTTTAGGATTACACAGACCTCCAGCGTCCGCAGGTTTTCTGTTTTATCCAAGACGGGCTGGAGCAGGTAAGGCTGAGGGGGATATGGTTGAGGCCGGGGCCGTCTTTTAACTTGAAGCAAAAAAAAATGCTGAGGGGGATCTGACTGAAATTGTGCTTCTACAAACAGATAAGACTGAAGGTGATCTGATCGAGTGAAACAAAAGAAAGCTGCAGCTCTGATGAACAGTTATCTAGACTCGAAATGTTAGCTTGCTCTCTCTCCATGGATGCTGCCTGACCCGCTGTGACCTCCAGCATCTTTTGTTTGTTCTCAGTACACTACTGATTCCAGCATCTGCAGTAATTTGCTCCTGCATTGTGATCTGATCGAGGCTGGGTTGTTTTCCTTGATGCAGAGAAGACTGAAGATGGTCTGATCTGAGGGCAGCACAGTGGTTAGCACTGCTGCCCTCAGTGCCAGGGACTTGGAGAAAGTTTTGGCCCGAAACGTCGACTTTGCTGCTCCTCTGTCTGACCTGCTGTGCTTTTCCAGATTCACATCTTATAGACTCACAGTGCCAGGGACCCGGGTTCAATCCCACCCTCGGGTGAGGTGGCTGCACATTCTCCCCGTGTCTTGCGTGGGGTTTCCTCCGGATGCTCTGCTTACCTCCCACAGACACAAAGATGTGCAGGTTAGGTGGATTGGCCATGCTAAATTGCCCATAGTGTCCATGGATGTGCGGGTTAGGTCGATTTGCATTTGGGGTTACGGGGTTTGGGTGGGATGCTCTTCAGAGGGTCAGTGCAGACTTGATGGGCTGAATGGCCTCTTTCTGCAATGTAGGGATTTTATGATTGTGGTTGTGGTTATTTTCCTTGGTCTAGAAGTCTAAGGCAGGGTGGGGGCAAGGGGCTGCTCTGTTAAGAGTAGAGAAAGCTAAAGGGAGATCTGTTTGAGGCCAGGATTGTTTTCTTTACAGCTGAGAAGTCTGAGGGGGACTTGATTGAGGTTGTTTTGCTTGGAACAGAGAAGGCTGAAGGGATGACCTGAATGAAGTATACAAACTTCTGAAGGGCATAGACAGGGTAATTAGAGAGAATTTTTTTTCCCCTTAGTATAGAGGTCAATAACCAGGAGGACACAGTTTCCAGGCAAGGAGCAAGAAGTGGAAATTTCTTCACCCAGAGAGTGTGATGAGCTATGGAATTTTTTGCCATAGAAAAGTGTTTGGGGCCAAAACATTGATATAATTCTTGGGGCTAAAGGAATCAAAGAGTATGGGGTACCAAGTTGGATGATCAGCATAATTAGCCTCTTGTTTTCAGCGGCAGCAGCGCGAGCCAGAGTGCCGACGGGAAGGTAGGGCCGTTTTTGTTTCTTCCTGTATAAAAACTTACCTCGTGCAGCAAGCGGCCCTCTTGTTTTCAGCGGCGGGTGTGTGGAGGGAACGCGAGCCCGGAAGAAACAGATAAATTTGGGCATTGGCTAAAGCCGAAACACTACACGTGTAGTGTCTCCCACCCATCCTCCTCCTCTAACCAAAAAAGACTATGTAGAGGTTCGGTAAGGTAAGTCTTCTTCTGGAAATCTCGAGTAGAGGGAATGGAAGCTAGGGCAGTTGCATGCTCCTCTTGCAGGGTGTGGGAGGTAAAGGTCACTGCTGGTGTCCCCTCTGACTTCACCTGCGAGAAGTGCACCCAACTCCAGCTCCTCAAAAACAGTGTTAGGGAGCTGGAGCTGGATGAACTCCGGATCATTCGGGAGGCTGAGGGGGTGATAGAGAGGACTTACAGGGAGGTGGTCACACCCAAGGTACAGGAAAAAGGTAGCTGGGTGACTGTCAGGAATGGGAAAGGGAATAGGCAGACAGTGCAGGGATCCCCTGTGGCCGTTCCCCTCAATAATAAGTATACCGTTTTGGATACTGTTGGGGGAGGGGGGGACCTACCAGGGGAAGGCCATAGCGGACAGGTCACTGGCACTGAGCCTGACCCTGTGGCTAAGAAGGGAAGGGGGGAGAATAGGAGAGCAATTGTAGTGGGGGATTCAATAGTAAGAGGCACAGACAGGCGGTTCTGTGGAGTGGACGCGAACGAGATGAAAGGATGGTATGTTGCCTCGCGGGTGCCAGGGTCCATGATGTCTCGGATCATGCCTTCAGGAGGAGGGTGAGCAACCAGCAGTCATGGTACATATCGGTACCAATGACATAGGTAGAAAAAGGACTGAGAATGTGAAAAACGAGTAGAGGGAGTTAGGTTTGAAGCTGAAGTCCAGGACGAACAGGGTAGTTATCTCTGGATTGCTACCAGTGCCACATGATAACGAAGTAAGAAATAGGGAGAGAGTGCATCAAAACACGTGGCTACAGGGCTGGTGTAGGAGGGAGGGCTTCCATTATGTGGATAATTGGAGCACTTTCTGGGGAAGATGGGACCTGTACAGTAAGGACGGGTTGCACCTGAACCGGAAGGGCACAAATATCCTGGGATGGAGGTTTGCTAGAGCTGTATGGGATGGTTTAAACTAGTTTGGCAGAGGGTGGGGAACTGGATTTATAATTCAGAGGATGAGGTATTCGGCCTTCCAACAGACACAACAGGGAGTGAGGTGGTTTATAAAGAAATGCAGTCGATGGAGCGTAATTGCGGACACTGAGATGGTTTGAGGTGTGTATAATTCAATGCAAGAAGTATCAGAAATAAAGCGGATGAACTTAGAGTATGGGTTGGTACTTGGAACTACGATGTTGTTGCCATTACAGAAACTTTGGTAACTCAGGGAGAGGAATGGATGTTGGAAGTTCCGGGATTTAGATGCTTTAAAAGAAATAGGGAGGCTGGATAAAGAGGTGGGGGAATGGCATTGCTAGTCAGGACGAGTATAGCAGCTACTGAAAGGCAGTTCGAGAATATGTCTACAGAGTCAGTTTGGGTTGAGGTCAGGAGCAAGAAAGGAGCAGTCACTTTGTTGGGGGTTTTTTACAGACCCCCTAATAGTTGCAGAGAAGTAGAGGAGCTGATTGGGAGGCAGATACTGGAAAGGTGCAGAAGTCACAGGGTTGTAGTCATGGGTGACTTCAACTTTCCAAATATTGATTGGAAACATTTTAGTTGTAATAATTCAGATGGAGCAGATTTTGTCCAGTGCGTTCAGGAAGGATTCCTGACACAGTATGTAGCTAGACCAACACGAGGAGAGGCCACTTTGGATTTGGTGCTTGGCAATGAACCGGGCCAAGTGTTAGACCTGTTGGTAGGAGAGCATTTTGGCGGTAGCGATCATAACTCTGTTTCTTTCACGATAGTCATGGATGAGGATAGGCACATATGGCAGGGTAAATTGGGGGAAGGGTAATTACAATTCAGTTAGGCAAGAACTGGGTAACATAAATTGGGAACAGATGCCGTCAAGGACGAGCACGACAGAAATGTGGAGATGGTTTAAGGAATGCATACTGCATGTGCTCGATATGTTTGTCCCTAGCAGGCAGAGAAGATGCGGTCGAGTGAGGGAGCCATGGTTCTCGAGAGAGAGGTCGAACGACTGGTTAAGAGGAAGAAGGAGGCTTATGTAAGGTTTAGGAAAAGAGGAACGGAAAAGGCTCTAGAGGGATACAAGTTAGCCGGGAAGGAGCTGAAGAAAGGGCTTAGGAGAGCTATAAGGGGCCATGAGAAAACCTTGGCGGATAGGATCAAGGAAAACTCCAAGGCTTTTTACACGTATGTACAGAACAAGAGAATGACCAGAGAAAGGGTAGGGCCAATCAAGGATTGTAAAGGGAATTTGTGCACAGAGCCTAAAGAGATAGGGGAGGTCCTTAATGAATACTTTTCTTCAGTATTCACAACTGAGAGGGACCAAGTTGTAGAGGAGGACATTGTGAAACAGGCAGGTAGGCTAGAGGAAGTTGATGTTAGTAAAGAAGATGTGCTAGGAATTCTGATGAAGTTGAAGACAGATAAGTCCCCCGGGCCTGACGGGATTTATCCAAGGATTCTATGGGAAGCGAGGGACGAGATCGCAGGGCCTTTGGCAATGATCTTTTCGTCCTCACTGTCCACAGGTATAGTGCCGGAAGACTGGAAAGAGGCAAACGTCATTCCCTTGTTCAAAAAAGGGAACAGGGATAACCCCAGAAATTACAAACCAGTTAGTCTTACATCAGTGGGGGGCAAGTTATTGGAAAGGGCTCAGAGACAGGATTTATGATCACTTGGAAAGGCACAGTGTGATTCGTGATAGTCAGCATGGATTTGTGAGGGGTAGATCATGCCTCACAAACCTTACTGAATTCTTTGAAGAGGTGACCAAACACGTGGATGAAGGTGGAGCAGTGGATGTGGTATACATGGATTTAAGTAAGGCGTTTGATAAGGTTCCCCATGGCAGGCTCATGCAGGAGGTAAGGAGGCATGGGATAGGGGGAAATGTGGCAGATTGGATTCAGAATTGGCTGACCCTTAGAAGACAAAGGGTGGCAGTGGACAGAAAATATTCAACATGGTGCTCAGTTACGAGTGGTGTACCACAAGGATCTGTTCTGGGTCCTCTTCTATTTGTGATTTTTGTAAATGATTTGGATGAAGGCGTGGAAGGGTGGATTAGCAAGTTCGCGGACGATACGAAGGTGGTTCACGTTGTGGACAGTGCGGAGGGCTGTTCTAGGTTACAAAGGGACATTGATAGAATGCAGAGCTGGGCTGAGAAGTGGCAGATGGAGTTTAACCCTGAAAAGTGTGAGGTGATTCATTTTGGAAGGACAAACTTGAAAGCAGAATACAGGGTTAACGGAAAGATTCTTGGCAGTGTGGAGGAACAGGGGGATCTTGGGGTTCATGTTCACAGTTCCCTGAGAGCTGCCACCCAGGTGGATAGAGTTGTTAAGAAGGCATATGGTGTGTTAGTTTTCATTAATAGAGGGATTGAGTTCAAGAGCCGTGAAGTTATGCTCCAGCTATACAAAAGCCTGGTTCGGCCACATCTGGAGTATTGTGTCCAGTTCTGGTCACCTCATTAAAGGAAAAATGTGGAAGAGTTGGAAAAGGTGTAGAGGAGATTTACCAGGATGTTGCCTGGAATGGAGGGAAGGTCTTACGAGGAAAGGTTGAGGGAGCTAGGGCTTTCCTCTTTAGAACGACGAAGGATGAGAGGTGACTTGATAGAGGTGTACAAAATGATCAGAGGTATAGATAGAGTAGACAGCCAGAGACTTTTTCCTAGGGTGGAGGTAGCTTCTACGAGGGGGCATAGTTTTAAAGTGAAAGGAGGTAGATATCGGGGAGATGTCAGAGGTAGGTTCTTTACTCAGAGAGTGGTAGGGGCGTGGAATGCATTGCCGGAGAGGGTAGTGGAGTCGGCCTCATTAGGGGCATTTAAGAGGCTATTAGATTGGCATATGGATAATAATATAAGGTAGCGGTTGCGGTTACATAGACCTTAGGTTTCGGGTAAAAGTTCGGCACAACATCGTGGGCCGAAGGGCCTGTACTGTTCTATGTTCGATACTTTGTTTTCTTCATTCATTCATGGGATAAGGCATTGCTGGCTAGGCAGCATTTATTGCCCATTGCTAATTGTCCAGAGGTCAGTTAAGAGTCAACCACATTGCTGTGGGTCTGGAGTCACATGTAGGTCAGACCAAGTAAGGATGGCAATTTCCTTCCCTAAAGGGCATTAATGAACCAGTTGGTTCTTCTGACAATCAGCAATGGATTCATGGTCATCATTAGACTCTTAATTCCACGCATTTATTGAATTCAACTTCCACCATCTGCCATGACAGGGTTTGAACACAGGTCCTCAGAACATTATCTAGGTCTCTGGGTTAACAGTCCAGTGATAACACCACTAGGCCATCATATCCCCTCTATCTATTATTGAATGGCAGAACAGGCTCAAAGTGATGGACAGCCTATTCCTGCACTTGTTCTCTATATTTCTATGGTTTGAGGAAAATAAATTTCACCCACAGGTATATGGAACTCACTGCCTAAAAGAGTGCTCGAGGCAGGAACCCTCAGGACATCTAAGGAGTGTTTAGATGAGCGCTTGAAATACCATATGATACAATGTTATTTCCAAGCATTGGAAAATGACCAGCATGGACACAATGGGCCAAAGGGTTTCTTTCCTTGCGGTAAGCACAATGACTCTTCTATGTCCTTTTAACACAGTTTTTATCATATTTCTCATTTTAAGGGTGCAGAGGAGACTCACCAGGATGTTGCCTGGTCTGGAATGATACACCTATGAAGCGAGACAGTAGATAGGCTGGGGATTGTTTTCCTTAGAGCGAAAAAGCCTGATGGGTGGACCTGATTGAAGTGTTCAAAGTTCTGATGGGTCTAGATAAGGAGAAACCTTTCCTCTTAGTAGAGGGGTCAGTAATCAGAGGAACAATTCTCAGGTAAGGAGCAGGATGTTGAGGAGACATTTTTTCCAACTAGAGGTGTCTAGATCTCATTGCTTAAGAGAGTGGTGGAGGCAGGAACCCTTAAGACATTTAACAAATATTTACATGAGCACTTGAAACACCATGCAAGGCCATGAGCCAAGCAGAGTTGATGAATGGAAGGGCCTCTTTCCATGCTGTTTAAAAACGCTGACTCTACCCAATTCAGATTGAAGGACACGGGTCTCAAGTGTTAACTCTTGTTCCTTTCTCCAAGAATGGTGCCAGAACCGCTGGATATTTCCAGCGTATTCAGTTTTTATTTCAGATTTATGGTACCTGCAGTATTTTGCTTTTTGATCTCACTGCCTGGGGCCAATAAATGAAAGAAAGTCAGGTCCTCTAAGCCAGTCATTTTGTAACTGCGTACTTTTCTAGAGGGACATCCCCTTCTAGGATTAAGAGAATGAATTGAAAATATGCTCCAAACGACAGCTGCCAATGTGACTTAGCAACATGCAAGAATTCCAGAATTATGCTGAGAGTTTGTTTGCTCTTGTGGGATAATCAAGAACCAGAGGGTAAATTTAAGAATGAGATGAGGAAGAATTTCATTTCTTTTCTGAAAGGATCATTAATCTTTGTAATTCTCTTCAGCAGAGACCTGTCTGGCTGTGTCATTTAATATATTACAGACTGAGTGACAGATTTTTGATTTACAATGGATTTAAGAGTTTTGGTGTTCAGCAACTGGCTTTTTTCCCTGAAGCATCGGAGGCTGAGAGGTGACCTTGTAGAGGTTTATAAAGTCATGACAGGCATGGATAGGGTGAAGCCCAAGGTCTTTTTCCTAGGGTGGGGAGGGCATAGGTTTAACGTGAGAGGGGAAAGATGTTAAAAAGGACCTGAGGGTTAATTTTTTCACGCAGTGGGTGGTGCATGTATGGAACAAGCTGCCAGAGGAAATGGTGCAGGTGGGTACAATTACAACATTTAAAAGTCATCTGGGTGGATATATGAATAAGAAGGGTTTAGAGGGATATAAGCCAAATGCTGGCAAATGGGACTAGGTCAGATTGGAATGTCAAGTCAGTGTGGATGAGTTGGACAGAGGTTCTGTTTCCATACTGTATGACTCTGTAACAGTGGAATTAAGTTCACAATCAGATCAGCTGTGATTTAATTAAATGATGGAGGTTGAATGATTTACTCCCGCTCCTGTTTCGTATGGTTATGCATCTATCCCACACCAGTTCAAACAAAGTATTTGATCCAGAGATGAGTGCGCTACCACTGCACCACAAATCCCTACAGTGGCTCCAATGAGCTATTCATATCGGTTACAACAGCCAGGGAAGTAGGGTCTATAATTAAGGATAAGATCTTGAAAATATTCAGCTGATACAGAAAATCAGCATGGATGTGTAAAGAAAAGGTCATAGCTTACAAAATGAGTGTATTTTTTTTAAAAGGTTACTAAAGTTTTAGTAAACTAAAGTTTTTATACTCTTACATGTTCCTAAACTTGGCGTTGAAGATAAATTGTTTGGATCAGAAATTGACTAAGGAGAAGGAAACATAGTAGGGAAAGTGGGCAAGTACTCTCATTGGTTGGGTGTGATTAGTGGTATCATAGAAGAATCTGTACCAGGTTCTCAGCTATTCCCTGTGCTCATTAACAAGTTAAATGATGGAATATTAAGCCACATATCTGCATTTTCCAAAATCGTCAGGATAAAAGGTAAGGTTAAGTAAATACAGTCTGACCAGACCATAGGGTTGCTCTCATTACAGAGTGAAAGAGATGAGTAGTGGTGGTTTAACCTGAGAGTTACCATGCCTCCGACAAGGGGAAGGTTGATGACAGGAGCCCTACTTCATGACCCCAGCTGGTGCAGGAATTGAACCCACAGTATTGATGTCATTCTGCATCACAAAATAGCCATCGAGCCACTGAACTAACCCATCCAGGGAGACTTGGTCCAAGTACATGGATTACAATAATAAACAGATACAGAAAATAATCAAAAAGGCTAATTAAATGCTTTATATCTAAAGGAACAGAATGCAAGGGGGTAGAAGTTCTGTTTCAGCTTCACAGAACCCTAGGTGTAGTCTAACCAGGGCTTTGTGGACAGTTCTTTAACGTTAACAGAGAATACTGGATGAATTTGATACTTGCACTCCAGGAGTTAACACTATGAGGAGAGATTCCTGGAATTTAGAAAATTAAAGGTTGATGAGATTAAGGTTTCTAAGGTATTAATGGAAACATATAGGGAGAAACTATTTCCACATGTTAGGGAGTTAGGTGACATAGTCTAAAGATTAGAGACAGAGATCCCTGGAGTGAAATACAAAGAGCAAAGAACCATACAGCACAAGAACAGGCCCTTCGAACCGCCCCCCCAAGCCCGTTTCAACACGTTTTGCCCTTCCATACTAAAACTGTCTTCATTTCAGGATCTGTATCCCTCTATTCCCTTCCTATTCATGTAGTTGTCCAGGTGTTTCTTGAATGCTGCTATTGTGTCTGCTTCCACCACCACCTCTGGCAGTGTGTTGCAGGCACTCCCCACCCTTTGTGTGAAGAACTTGCTTCTCACATCTCTTAAACTTCTCCCCCTGCACCTTGAACCTGTGTCCCTTAGTAATTGACCCCTCCACCCTGGGAAAAACTCCTCATTCTTTCCACTCTATCCATGCCATTCACAATGTTATAAACATCTGTCAGGTTGCCCCTCAACCTGTTGCGTTCCAGTGAAAATAAACCCAGTCTATCCAACCTTACTTCATAGCTAAAATCCCCCATACCAGGCAACTTCCTAGTAAACCTTCTCCGTACCCTCTCCAAAGTATTCATGTCCTTCTGGTAGTGTGGTGACCAGAACTGTACAGAATATTCCAAGCATGGTCTATCTAAAGTTCTATAAAGCTGCAGCATAACTCGTCTGTACTCGTATTCAGTGCCCCTTCCAATGAAGGCAAGCATGCCATAGGCCTTTTTTACTACTTTATCTACTTGCGCTGCCACCTTCAGTGATCCGTGGACCTGCACCCCCAGATCCCACTGCATATCAATACTGCTAAAAGTTCTGCCATTCACTGTATAATTTCCACGTATACTTAACCTTCCAAAATGAATCACCTCACATTTGTCCAGATTAAACTCCATCTGCCATTTTTCTGCCCATGTCTCCAACTGATCTATATCCTGTTGTATCCTCTGACAATCCACACAATCAGCAACTCCACCAATCTTTGTATGATCCGCAAACTTACTAATTAGACCAGCTACATTTTCCTCCAAATCATTTATGTAGACCACAAACATCAGAGGTCCCAGCACTGATCCCTGTGGAACACCACTGTCACAATTCTCCATTTGGAAAAGCATCCTTCCTCTGCAACCCTCTGTCTCCTATGATTAAGCCAGTTCTGTATCCATCTTGCCAGCTCACCCCTGATACCAGTCTGCCATGAGGGATCTTGTCAAATATAGAAACACACTTTACAATCAAGTTTTGGAAGTTTGGAATTCTCATCTGTAACTTGCAGTTGAGTTTTTACATTCATTCATGGGATGTGGGCACTGCTGATTAGGCCAGCATTTGTTGCCCATTCCCAGTTGCCCACGAGAAGGTGATGGTGAGCTGCCTTTTTTCCCCACTTGTTACAAATTGATTTTATTGTGTTTTTTTATGTCCTCTTCAAATTACTTTCAAGGCAGGAGGATGCCATTATATTTTTGTTGAAACCACTTTATCAATTCTTCCTATGAAATCTTTTGTGTTTTGAACCAATGTGCCCTTTACACCTTTTTATCAGAAATGATGAAACCGGGCCATCCCATGAGCACATAGAAATCCAGACCATAAATTCTAATACTAGGCTTGTACTTGATGCCCAGATCAATGTGCTCCTGGATACCAAAGCCAAAGATTCCTGTGTTTCAGAATTTGCTCTTCCTCACTTCATATTCCTGAACCTTTAGACCTTTCGCTAGAATTTTGTCAGCTTTGAGTCCTCAGATTGTGCAACGAACAGCAATCTTCTCATTTCTTCTAATACCAAATGTTCGCACAGTGTAGCGAGCTTTGAAAAACACTGAGGTCTGGCCAGTGAGTTGCTCCAACTCTTTAACAGCTCTGGTGAGTCTGTCACCACTTGCCCCTATGCAGATTTTCAAACAAAGCTTCCTAATGTGGAGCTTAAGCATAGGATTTTTCTTCTTTTCACCCACCATTCCTGCAGCAGATCAACAGCAAAAGGGTGAATGGCCTGACAAGCCATTGCAAAGCAGTTGATTTAGGTAGTAAGGGATTTCTGGGATTTGCACCATTGCAAAGCTGCAACAATGAAAAAGCAGCAATATATTTCCAAGTCTGGATTCTGAGTGGATATGGTAGTAGTCAAATGGGTCTCTTGTTCCGGATGATGTCAAGCTTCTTGAGTGTTGTTGGAGACACACTCATCCTGGTAAGTGCTGGTGTATTCAATCACACTCCTGAGTAGTGCCTTGCTGATGGTGGGCAGGGTTTGGGAGTCAAGAGGTGTGTTATCTGCTGCAGGATTCTTGACTTAGTCATGTAGCCGCAGTATTTACAGACATTTTCAGAAATGTTTTTACACATTTCTGGAGTAGGTGGGACTTAAACCTGGCCTGTCTAGTTAAGACCATAAGAAATAGGAACATGAGTAGGCCATTTGGCTTCTCGAGCCTGCTCCACCATTCAATAGGATCG